CTCGAGGACTACCTCTCCCGCCACGTCCTGCGCTGGAGGGACCTGCAGAGGATGGCGGGCTCCTTGGTGAGCGGGGTGGCCCACCTGCACAGCGACTACACGGCCTGTGGCAGGCCCAAGATCCCCATCGCCCACCGGGACATCAAGAGCACCAACGTGCTGGTGAAGAGCGAGCAGGAGTGCGTGCTCTGCGACTTCGGCATCGCCATCCGCCTCGACCCCTCCCTGACCGTGGACGACTTTGCCAACTGCGGGCAGGCAAGGACGACCCCTCAGCCCCTCCTGGAGGGGACCCTCTTCCAACTACCCTCAGTCACCCACTGCCAAAGTCCTCGCCCAACCCCTGCTAACACCTCTCTCCCTCCTCTTTGTCGGCAGGTGGGCACAGCCAGGTACATGGCCCCGGAGGTCCTGGAGTCCAGGGTGAACCTGGAAGACCTGGAGTCTTTCAAGCAGATGGATGTCTACTCCATGGCCCTCGTTTTGTGGGAAATGGCCTCAAGATGTGAAGTGGTAGGAGGTAGGAGCACGGTACTGGGGTTGCCACGCACTTTTTGCTCCCTTCCTCCACGTACAGGGACACGGCTCCCCCTTGTGTCCCTGGCAGCGGCACTGGACCCGATGTGGGGTGACTTGGTCCTCTGCAGGGGTGTTAAGAGCTGGCAGCGGGTCCTCCCCATGGCTCCCTGCCCAGTGTGCTGCAGCTCAGGGGGTCAGCTCAGTGGCCAAAGATCAGGATGAGACCTCAGCGGGTTCATCTGGTCAAGCCCCCACTCCAAGGCAGCCAGCTGCCAAGTCAAATCCCAGTCAGTGCTGGCAACACAAAGCTAAGCAGGAAGAGCCCAAGGCTGCCTCCCTCTCCCTGGCCACAAGCATTTTTTTTTTCAGACAACAGCAGTGAGTTTATGTTGCAACAGGGACTCACAAACTCCAGCCTCTGACAGAGCCACATCCTGGCATCTGAAACTGCATGTAGGAAAACTTTTAATTAACTGCCCTGCTGTTAGCCCCTGCTTGCCCTTCTGCCTCCTTCCCTCCCTCCCCATTTTAGCTGTCTCCAGTTCCTTCCCCAACCCACCTACTTGCAATACAAGCCCACAGAGCTGCAAAAAGCTCCAGCTGCTGGCAAGAAAGTTGGTCCAATTGCCCCACGAGCCCCACGCTCAGCAGAGGGAGAGCCCTGCCTGGCTCAGATGCCCTGTGCATCCTTTACTCCCAAGCCAGCAACCCAGGCCATCCTTTCCCACTCGTATTTCATCTCCACTTGCATCCAGGCAGGAGCTGGCAGAAACCAGGGTGGCCTCTCACCTCTGCAACAGGGTTTTTCCTTGGCCTCCCACCACATAGGGCTGCTCTCCTGGAAAAGCCATTTTTCCACTAACCTGATCCAGGCACGCAGCAGGA